GAAGCATTGAAGATGCTAGGGATCACCAGATCTCCAGATCCAGTGAGAAAACCACACAGGAAAAATTTTCGCATAAGAGACAAGTAAGGTTGTCTGAACCTAATTATTCGTCTATTAATGTAAAACTATTATCTGTATTTTTTTATTTTTACGAGTTTGATTTTGGTTGATTTCTATTTTGCAATAAGCATATTTTCTTGGATCGAAGGAAAGAAACAAAAGTAAAATGAAAGTAATGTATCAATGCAAATTGCTATACCTAACTGTATTTCTACACAATAGAAAAATAGACTAATCTGTGGATGAACGAAAATACTCTTCTATCAATGTAAAACTATTTACTGTATTTTGTTGACTAATATTAAAACTTGTAATTGCTTATAGAATTTTTGTTAAGAGCATATTGCACACACACTTTACAATTTAACTGATCAAGAACAAAATGAAAGGGCAAAATCTACAGAGCGGGAACAAGTAATGAATATAAAATAATAAGTGCATTTTTTAGATAAAGGTTTGTGTTTTATCTCACAGTCACACATCATTGCGACAGCGGCAAAAATGCTGAAAATGTTAATTTAGTCAGATTTAGATTTTTAGTCCGTAGTTATAAGTTATATTTTAATTTATTTATTATCCATTTAATTAGTTTTAGATTAGTTGTAAGTAACTCTTGTTGTTGAAAAATTACATCAGTAAATACTTAAATATGTAAATAAACTAATAAGATGAAATAAAGGATCGTTTTTCTTTCGTTACATATATGTATGTATATTCCCTGAACATACCATATACATTCACTGAACATACCATGTACATGCCCAGAACATACACATGTACATTCACTGAACATACCAGGTACATTCCCAGAACATACCATAAACATTCAGTGTATTAACTCTGACAGATTCCTGGAACATACATGGAATGTTCATAATGGAACTCATGTATGTCCCAGGAATATACATGTACATCACATGAATGTTCCAGGTATATTCTGGAAATATCATTTTGCTATGTGGGTACTATTATTATTATTTCCTGAAGACAAGTTGACTACCATCTGTTCAACTTATCCACATATTAAAAAAGAACGACTCCGCCCGGAACTGTAGGTTATTTATTCCAGAAGCGACTGTAGGGAAACAAATGGCTAGTTATCCCTACTAAAATTTTGACCAATGACTCTATTCATGATTTCTATCGAAAAAACGTTTATGTCTGAAATCGACAAGTTTAATGAGATGGTCATCGACAAATTTGCAACTAGAAAGGATCGAAGAATTGAACTGTTATATAGATTAATTTAGACTTTACTGTTGTATAATATTTTAAAAAATATATCAGGTGTTCGAAAACGATTTGAAATTTCAGTTAACTTCTTTTGCAGAACACCCGCTACATCAGTCCACGAACCTCCACTGGTAGTAGTCATCCACTGGCTGCACTGGCAACCTCCACTGGTAGAGAACTGCATTCTTATTTGAACAGAGATCCTAATACGGAGAGAGCATTACAATTTCCAAGAATAATAAGAAATGCGTTCAGTCAATATGAATAAATTATGAGAATATGTATTTTGCGAGTCACCCAATAGTAAATAGTGCAGATTATGCATGTGGGCAATGCAACTTCCTCGGTGCTGTTCCATTTTTGATATTCAGTCTATGATCATATATATCATATGTAGTGATTTTCGTTTGACTTTAAACGTGAACTTCTGACAATGCGAGGTGCGTACTTGGTTTTAGCCTGGTTAAAGGCGAGTTTGATGAGTTTTGAGTTTCACAAAAATAGCACACAACAGACAATACATCTCTTTTCCACAGACACTTTTATTCAGTCTAAACTTACAATGTTAATTGTATCCGCATATCCAAAGATACTTAAATATGTTACGTGATTTATTGTTTAAAAGAGGACAATGAATAGTGTTTGCCATATTTTTCTAAATGTTTCTTCATATCATCCTGCTGTTTCCTAAAACAAAAAACAGCAAACATAATAGTATATAATTAATTAAACCGCTGGTCGATGCTATTACTTAGTATTAGTTCAAATTAAAATGGAATAGTAGATACATAAGAAGAGTTGTAAGGAGCACTTTACGCAATTGCGTAACAACTTGAAATATTTACCATACTTTACCTACGACCGCAATAACTTCCTAAAACTAAGAGGCAAACTTTTATATTTTTAAATATACCAGTTTTGACAACGATTGAAAAGTTGACAGCAGTTCAGCATTCGCGACTTCAAAAGTGCAAACGCCCACTAAATTATAACTACATTTTAACTAGTAAATTTTGACTCTTATTTTGATTAAATGTCATTATGACTTATTTTGTTTAGATCTACTCAGCCTTTGCAAGCCTTTAAACAGATGTAAACATATTGAAAAATGTGTCAGGAAGGTTATTACGGTTATTACATTACCAATGTATGCGTGATTTCTGCAGTTAACTATAACGAGTAAAGTTTACATTTCGCAGCTCCCTCATCGGTATTTGAACTCGCGAATTGCAAAATTGTATTCCTTCGTATGTATCAAAACTTTATTAATTGTTTGGGCGGATTCATTATTCTTTAATTAGAAATAATTTATGATGACTTTATTTTGGTATCTATATTCGTGAGGCTGCTACGTACTCTATATACTAATACAGTATACAGGGTGGACCATTTTAAAAGATCCAGTCAAATTTCTAGTAAATGTTGGCAAAAAAAAGAAAACGTTTCACACAAATGTTGTGTAATTACTAGGGATAAACCCGCAGGTGATATCAACTTTTTTACAGATTGGGCCGTTAACGTCGGGCGGGGGCAATTCAAATTTTTAACATGAATAGTTTTGGGGCCTATTTTTTACTACAAAATCCGATTCAACTTTTAACAATAAATGGAAAAGTATTAAGATACATATGACCTAATACACACAGCATAGTGAACAGCAAGTGGCAGTGCGAACACTATCAAAACCAGTAGTAGTCTGAACCTAGTAAGTCGGTTTAACCGGCCGGATCTGGCTAGCACCCGACAGCCTTTCAGGCCCATTTTCATCAGAAACAAGCGAAACGCAGTTTGACGGAACTAAGTTTATGTTAAACGCTGAAATTAAACGGGTTTAACGACGGACCGTTTTCACCAGAGCTTCGGTACGTTTCATAAACTACGTTTATTGAAACGCAGTTTAAGAAACTGGAAACACTGGCATCGTTGCAAAAGTGAGAAATATTACGATTCTCATCGCAAAATCAAGGAACCATTTGGGTCCATGACGTCAATAACCCGTTATCAAACCCAAACTTTCTGCTCGAACTAACGGTAAACGTTTAAAGTTTGCTTTATTTCTGCACGGTTTGTGCATTCGTGTATGGCACACGTTTTTATTAGATTTTCTATTTGAAAAGTTACTTAAACAAGTACAAAATTAAGTCCTGCGCCCTTTCAGATCCTTATAAAATTCATTGAATAAACAAGGCAAGCGGAGGAGTCAGGAAGGATTTTACTGGATAAACATCGTGGCTGGAATCTCACAAAACCCAGAACGCTAGAACACCAGCTCTATCGCGGAGCTCACCCCATGTACAATTGGATGTGATGTAGTTGTGCTGAAACCCTTAAAATCTCTAGCAGAAATTTGCATGCATTCTGTGACATAAAACCGCAAAGCACCGAGAAGCTGGCTTATCGGCGACACAATTACAGACAGGACAGACAAAGTACGTAAGTAACATTAAAATATTCGTAGACTTCGTCGAAAATTAAGTTATAAACTGGCCTACGTGCCATTTCCATTTTATTATTTTTCGGTCGACCGCAACAACAACAATTCTTTACACAGTGAGGTTAGATCAAGTCTTTAAACGGCGTTTAAAGCTATAAACGCCCAAAATCGGCCAGTTCGTTTCTTTAAACGCGTTTAAGCTCAAACTAAGTTTAAGGTTCTGGTGAAATCCGTTTGGCGCGTCAAACTCAGTTTCAGACGTTAAACTGGTTTAAGATCGCTTAATGAAAATAAGCCTCAGTAGCGGTCATGGGGTTGCCAGTAGGGATGGTCGGTATTTATCGTAACCGCTAAAATAACAGTGTTCTAAACGTGTAATCTGAAACCGTAGTTACAGCTAGCCGATTTAACCGGCTTTTTTTTAAACCGTCTCATAAAACCGAAATAGGTGTGCGCACTTGGACGCCGTCGAGCGATCTATTCAGCTGCAGCCGTTTGCCGATTTAAACCGTCGTTTTTGGAACCGTCTCAAAAAACCGTAACAACGGTACGCGCCACTAGCAGAGAACCGATCACTTCGCACCAGCTGCAGCCGTTTGCCGACTTAAAGGTTTTTTTTGGAACCGTCTCATAAATCTGAAAAAGTGGTTAGCGTCAGCACAGAATCGATGCGGCATCGTCGAACGTTCTATGCAGTTGCAGCAGTTTCAGTAACCATTTGTCAACGGAAAATATGTTGTGTGTAGTTGCGCGTTGCCTTGATAATTGTGTATCACTTTTCGTTTATAAGAATTACTGTTCAGTTCTCCAGGAACCAGCGAAAATTTGTTTAATTGCTGCAATGATATAATTCAACAATTTCAGTCTATAAGTATTTAGTTTTCTGACATTCTGTAATAAATCTTAAAAAAAGGGATTTCTCTCAAAAAACTTAGCTCGGGAGATTTATGCCCATATATGCGGTGGTAGTGGGTGATAGTTGATGACAGTGGTTGCTGTACGACCGCTGCCTAAATGATATTCGTACATTTACCCGAAATTTCGATTATTTAATAATGCTTATTAGAAAAAGTTGCTCAAGTATTTATTTTTGGGTAATTTTACTTGCGTACACATTGATGTTTTTCATATTTTCTTGCTCTGCTTATTGCACGTGATAGGTGCCGTTAAGATACAAAATGTTCATGTTGTATATACAAAATATGCAAAAATGGCTAATGTCCGCGTAGCAACACCTGATTTCGCTTACCACCGAACCCACAGTCCTCAACTCTACCTTCTTCTAAAAGCGTCGAGACTCCCAAACAGTGCAAAATTCTTCATTCCATTTTGTCACGAAAAGTAAAATTCAGACAATTATGTGACCACGTGATATTGTGATGGTAGTAGTGGTGTGAAATTCGATTACTTTTGATTACAGGTACCGGCTAGTCACTTCGGATCAGTCATTCTAGTCGTTAGACTTACGAAAGTCGAAGCCCGATTTTGATATTTTATTAATGCCCTACAGATTTGTTATACGGACGCTATAAACAATAAACAAAACTAGTTATAACCATATAGAACCCTCGAATTCACGATAAAATATACCCTAATAGATTAATTTAAGTCTAAGAGTTGATAAACAGACCATTTTAAGATTCTCATTGATCTAATTGATTCTCTATTGTAATTGTAACCCCACGGTTGTTAATTCTAGCAGTTTTTAAATAAATTGCTTTTTTAAATATAAATTTTGAAAGCAAGGTATCTAACTCTGCGAAGCAAGATGCTACACAGCAATAAATAATTTGTGGTACAGTAGTAATACAGTAGGACAATTATCAATAAGTCTTCTCGCAAAAATGCAGTTTTCAAATAAGTTACAATTTTCATATTACATTTTATATCATAAATGTAAAAATATAATTCAAGATTACCACGCACCAACGGGCAACACTTTTTTACACAGTTTTTAGTGATTAGGTACGATCAATATTGAAAGGGCAACGACCTTTTTAGTGACTAGGTACGTCGAGTCGGGATATTAACAGGGAACTTAGGATGAGGATGCTGCGTTGTTGCGTTTTTCCCACGCTCTTGTATGGAGTTGAAGAATGGACCCTCATGAAAAAACTATAAGCATTCGAAATGTGGTGCTACTGTAGAATATTGCGTATTCCCTGGACCGATAGGAATGCGAAATCATTAAGACCATGAAAAAAAGAAAGTTCATATAATTAACGGACAGAAATACACACTTCTCCAAATGATAGTATAGGGAAATAGGGTCCAGGGTATAAGTGGAAGGCGGAACATTGGCAGACGCCGTGTGTACTGGTTAAAGAACCTGACAGACGGGTTTAACTGTAGCAATGTTCAACGGTTCAGAGCTGCAGTCAATAAGGTCAGGATTGCTGTGATGATTGCAAACCTCCGATAAAAGATGTACTATAAGAAGAAGACGTGGAAAATCAAACGCTGCTGTCGGTATCCATCCGTATTGGTACCGTTGCTGATTACTAGTCTCATTACTTACTAGTGAGTCTAAAAGAGTACGCGGCTGCGGGTATCCATCGGTACCAGAATTCGGTACTTGATTTGATGAATTTTTGAATGAGTGACTTGATTTTCCGAAAACGTTTACTGATTAATTGAATACTCATTTGATAGCTTGGTGCGGTTTTTGTTACTTCGGATACGGATGAGTAACGAGTACTCGAATACCAATTGGTTACTTTTTCCCAACCACTGGACGGCAGGCATCAACTACCGACACCTAAAATATGAAAACCCGAAAAAAAGGTTGGAAGCGGTGACCTGCTGTTAGGGTACATGCACACTAAGCGGATACTCGTGATGCGGCCCGCGGTACGGTTCATCGATTGCAATGAAAGTAAATAGCACTACGGCTTCTAGTTTCTATAAATACTATTCATGCGGCTTCACGTTTGGTCGAGGGGTTGCTTACATCCATGCAGCCTCTCGAGCGGCCTGCCGCACGTTTACCACGCACACTATGCGTTCAGTTTGCGGGTAGCCGACGTCGTGTGGTTTTTTTCAGTGTTTATCTATGATCGTGTGTCTTTCTTTGTGATATATGGTTTCCAAATGCTCACTAATTTTTCAAATGTTTTTGAACTCATTCTCGCTTATCTAAAAAACTCGTCTTCATATTTTGTCAGTTCTTCGAAAAATATTGCAAACAAACAAATTTATATTTGCCTTATTATATAAATCTTCATTTTAGCAATTCTGCATCTCTATTGTCTATTGTATAGTATTGGAAACCCGTTTTTTTCTTATTATTAAATGCAGATTAATTCCGTTTTCATCCCTTTATTCTCTCGAATAAGGACGTTTTTGTACCCCCCATTGCAACTGAACTGCTTCGTTTCTTCTCGGGAACCCTGGTCTGTAACCAGTACTTCCTATTTTTCTTTTTGTTTTCATATAACGTTAGTAGATGTAATAAATCGTAACAACTTCGTCAACGTCCTTTTTTGAAATGATTATTGATTACTGCGTTTTGGATGCAATTGACAGCGCTTTACAAGTGAATACCGCGATTGCGATAACGGTTAAACGCAATGGGTTTTCACGCAGATTTAACCGCATACCCGCTTAGTGCGTATGAAATAGTGGTGTGAGATATAATTAGTTTTGGATTCAATACTCATTACTTCGGATCAGTTATTCACATCACTCATTCTAGTCGTTAGTTTAACGAAAGTCGAAGACCGATATGGGAATTTTATTAGTGCTCTTCAGATTTGTTACACGGACACTTTAGTCATACAAACCATATGGAACCCTTGAATTTATGATTCCCGTAATAGATAGGTATATTTACGTTCAAGAGTAGATATTCTGCCCTGTGCTGTATCATAAATGCTATTTTTAACGGCCACACGTTATGGCAACTTAACAGTTCAGGATAACATTTTCGATAACGCAGCATCACAACCGAGGTGTGCTCAGTTATCCATCAAACGTTAAAAAGAAAAAAAATATTGGATGCATAAATTGAGATGCCGTTATACGAATAGTCTATTAGTTAGAGAGAGAGTTGACATCAAATCATCGAAGTTTCTAAAACATATGCACCACATGTGCACGTTTTGACTATTTGGCCCACCTACTACCATACTTGTACCTTGTTTATGATTTGCATTCACTTTCAATTTTGTTCGTTACTGTTCTTGACCTATCTTCTCAAACGCTTTCAATGAAGCATGCACAGAAAAGGCAAAAAAAACAACCCGCAAACAATTTGAAAATTTAGTAGAGTTTGTGGAAGAAAATAAAGTTTATTTTGAATACCATTTACCAATTTTTCTAATAAAGCTAACCTTATAAGACTACCAAAAGACATATTTTTCTTTTAAATTAAAAACAAATTATAGCTAAAAGACAAAACTACGCTCTGATTAACACAATTGTTTTATTTATTCCCCGAGTTTAACTTCGAGGGACTGAATTATTCTGAAGCGCTATTTCTTAAGTTAACGTCCGTCGATAGCGTGCGCCTGTTATAATATAAAGGTTTTACTGATACAACACACCAGTTGGAGCCACATAACGTGTTTGACGGATAACATACACGTTAAAGTTAACGTGAGTTATACAGCAGAGGGCTGAATCAGACCATTTTTATTTATTTTTAAGTCAATTGTTAATTGATTCCCTATTGTACACTCTATTGTTATTGTATATATTGTTATTGTAGACATTTTGAACCTTCACAGTTGTCAATACTTGCAGTTTCTAAATATGGTGTTTTTTTTTGGCAATTTTTGAAGGCAAGTTATTTAACTTTGTGAAGCAAGATGCCACACATCAATAAATAAACTTTGGTGCAGTAGTAATACAGTGCGACAATTAATCAACGTCTTTTTACAAATATGCAGTTTTGTGACAAATATGAAGTAAATGTAAAAATATAATTCAAGATTACCATGCGGCAACGTGCAACCTTGTTTTTAGTGATCAGAAACGACCGAGGCGTGAAAATCAAAGGCGGCTGTCTGTATCGATCCGTATCGGTACGGGTACTGATTAATGGTATTGATTATCAGTTAGTCTGAGCGAGTACGAGTGGAAGAATAGGTATTCGGCTTGAGAGTCGAAGGTTAGAATGGGTGGCTTGATTTTCCGAGCACGATTATTGCAATCAATAATCTTGAATACTCGTTTGATAGCTTGGTTCGGTACTCGTTATTTCGGATACTGATAAGTAACGAGTACGCGAATACGGATTAGTTCGTTTTTTCCTACTACTTGTATGAACAGGAGGAGTTGGCTTCATCATAGAGTAAGTAAAATAAGAGAGGTGCAACTGGCTGACCGGCGACTGACGGCAATAAAATTTCGAGTTTTCGGCCAAGAAGTTCTGAGCATGTGCGAAACGTGCAGGACATAGTGAAAATAAAATAAGGGTCGGTTAAATCAGTTCTGTCCTTTTTCAACTTGCAGAACAACGCGGCTGGATATTATTTTTGAATTGCTAAGTTGACTTTGCTAAATGAAATTAACCTATGAATTCAATTTAACCTTATTTTAACCACGTTTCCGATTGATCGGTCGAGTTAAAATAATTTCATATTTCTAATACCTGTACGGTATTAATACCAACAAATAACATTTGCTGTCGAAACGTAAGTATTGCATAAACATAATAGTATTTTTTTGTAAATATGTATGACCATTTTTTGTTTACTCTTTCTTGTTTGTTTGTATAATTACATTTGCATAAAGATGAGTCCTCCTGATGATCGTGTTCTTTTCGTATAAATGTATAATA